TGAAATACTCTTGGTGAAATACTTAAAGCAAGCCTCTTTCAAAATTTTGGTTTGTTAAATCAATAGAATCAAATGATTTTTCATTTTATCTCATACATAAGCCCCTAATTGAAGTTGCACATGATGAGATGTCCGAACATCTATGGTAATAAAGAAGTTGGCAGTGCACTGATAACAAACTCTGAACAAAAGGGAAGGTTGGGCAATTTGTGGACTTATTGGGTTTCCTATGTGGGGTGTCAAGTGGGAGGGTAGGGGATGATGTTTTGGTGTTGGGGGGGGGGTTGTTGGGTTGGGTTCAGAAGGTTTTTTTTGGTAATCATCTTACTATCAGGTTTTGTAGGGGTGTATGGAGGAGGAGTTCCCTTGACGACATGTTTGGGTGATAGTTGTTCCTTTAAGGGTGATGATCATTTGTTTATTCATTGTCCGGCAGCGTCTCGGTTGTGGCGCTTATTTTTTTCTACTTGTAGTGTTGTGTGGGTCCAGCAAAATGGGGCGCTGGAGGTTCTCTTTATCTGGGGAGGAGGTCTAGTTGGGAAGCAGCATAGGAGGGCTTGGGCTTGGGCTTTGGCCCTTTTGTGCTTAATGTGGTTGGTTTGGTTAGAGTGGAATCTTTGTACCTTTCAGGGGGTTGCTCGTTCGTTATCATGGTTAGAGCACAGGTTGTTTGAGATTCTGTATAGTTGGGTGTCGGGGAGGGTGAACCCCGATTTGTTTGCTTTCGTGGATTTTGTAGATGATGTAAAACCCAAGTTGTGTGTAGAATTATTTTATTGGATAGATTAGTAATTAAATTAATTTATATAGGTCATTTAATAATATCGAAGAATTAGTTATGAGATGGCATTATAATTTCTATTACTTAGATGGGTAATTTTGTAATTTTGAGAAATTAGGTTAATAAGCCCACATGTTGTGGCTTTAAGTCCTAGGAAAGGAGGGAAAAAAATGGAGAAACAAACAAAACAGAGGCTGGTGAATTGCTATGGAGGGTTTTAGAGGCGGCAAGGGTTTGACAAGGTAAAAGAAAAAAAAAAGAAAAGAAAAGAGATGTTCAAGTGAGGCTGCAATAGGAATTGGAGGCAGCACGTTAGGCAATATTGGGACACCCATTGGTTGAGGTAAAAATCTTCTTGTATTGTTGATTATTAAGTTTATGCTGAGGAATTAAACAATCAATGCATTATGGGGATTTGGAAGATTTGTAGGTGCCTACTTAGGTTTTGAAAATTGGGTGCAACGTGTAAGTGTAACTTTGGGTGGGTAATAGAAACAGTGGAGTTTTGTATCATGGGTAAGGGTGTGTTTGGCTATAAAGTTGAGTTGAATGGTTTGGTCACTTGGATATTAAAGAAATAAATTAATCTAATATGGTGGGGCTTTTGTAGGTGTATGTAATACGAAAAAATATTAATTTATTTGAGGTTATATTTATTAGGTTTGGGTGATTGAAGTGGTGGAGCTGAGTGTTTGGAATTGGTGTTGGAATATTTTTTTTAAGCATTTGAGGTAAGTAACCCTCTATCACTGTTGGTTCATTTTTATTCCAATTGAATCATTTAAAATTATAAATATTTATTTATAGCCTTCATGTTCTCTTAAAATAAAATATGGGTCAAGTATAAAAAAACATCGAATATTATTATAAAAATTATTTGAATGTTTTGTGAAACTATTCTGAAAATTGTAGCAAATGTTTATTCCGGAAATATCGAATATTTTATTTAAAAGTTGTATATTGTTTGAATTTTGAATATCACTCTAGTCTGACTATGATTCGGGCCCTAGCCAATGGGGGTTATTTATTGGCACAGAAACTAGTTTCTTTTGAGGCTTACCACTAGCCTATGTGTGGTTCTGGCCTTGTCATGAGCTAAGTGACCGTAGTCACCAAGACTTGGGTTTTGTGAATCGCATCATTGAACCATCTGAATATTGAACCATCGATTTGAACAACGAAATTCTTCGAATTATCTCATTGCCTTTTCAACTAGAATGTATTGCTACTCTGTTTATTTTCAACTGTGAAACCATCTTACAAAATGATTGTTTATTTATTGAATTGTAGCAAAAATATATTTATTGGTTATCGACTATTTATTTTTTTTGTATACTTGATCTAGCGAGTAGTGAGGTTGGTTATTTGCTGGGCTGCCTAACTTACCCTTATTTTATTTTTTTTTCAGATTCGGAGTAGAGCTGCACAGGGTTTTTTACTTGTGGGAGTGCCGAGAGTAGGACTACGATTTTAATTTACTTTGGGTTACTAATTTGTTAGTGGATTATAGTAATGGACTTGGTGGATAATTTCATATGACAAGGATGGTTTATTATTTATGGATTTTGGTATTATCATAATTTAAGATTTAATTTGTGTATTTTATATTGTTGGTTTATTTGATTGGACTCTTAGCCTTGCATGCTCACTTAGATGAGTGTGTGGCGTTGTCACGAGGCTTGGGGCATGACACAAAGGTTAACATAATATCTCTGCCACCATCATCTCTAATCTGGACATCTCCCATTCCTCTGTTCTTCAGTTCCTCTTTAAACTCTGTTGCAAGGTGTTGAGGTTTCAATCGAACAATCACACTGTCATAAAGCCAGCCATTACCTTCCTTGAAAGCATGTATATTTATGTTCGCATTAATCTAATATGGTGGGGCTTTTGTAGGTGTATGTAATACGAAAAAATATTAATTTATTTGAGGTTATATTTATTAGGTTTGGGTGATTGAAGTGGTGGAGCTGAGTGTTTGGAATTGGTGTTGGAATATTTTTTTTTAAGCATTTGAGGTAAGTAACCCTCTATCACTGTTGGTTCATTTTTATTCCTATTGAATCATTTAAAATTATAAATATTTATTTATAGCCTTCATGTTCTCTTAAAATAAAATATGAGTCAAGTATAAAACAACATCGAATATTATTATAAAAATTATTTGAATGTTTTGTGAAACTATTCTGAAAATTGTAGCAAATGTTTATTCCGGAAATATCGAATATTTTATTTAAAAGTTGTATATTGTTTGAATTTTGAATATCACTCTAGTCTGACTATGATTTGGGCCCTAGCCAATGAGGGTTATTTATTGGCACAGAAACTAGTTTCTTTTGAGGCTTACCACTAGCCTATGTGTGGTTCTGGCCTTGTCATGAGCTAAGTGACCGTAGTCACCAAGACTTGGGTTTTGTGAATCGCATCATTAAACCATCTGAATATTGAACCATCGAGTTGAACAACGAAATTTCTTCAAATTATCTCATTGTCTTTTCAATTAGAATGTATTGCTACACTATTTATTTTCAACTATGAAGTCATCTTACAAAATAATTGTTATTTATTGAATTGTAGCAAAAAAATATATTTATTGGTTATCAACTTTTTTTTTTTTTTTTTTTTTATACTTGAACCAGCTAGCAGTGATGGTTGGTTATTTACTGGGTTGTCTAGCTTACCCTTATTTTATTTTTTTTCAAATTCTGAGGAGTAGAGCTACCAGGGGTTTTTACTTATGGGAGTACTGAGAGTAGGACTATACTTCAAGTACTTTGATTATTATTTTGTTAGTGGATTATATTGGTGAACTTAGTGGACAATTTCATATGATAAGAATTATTTATTTTTATCGATTTTGGCATTATGATAATTAAATATTTAATTTGAGTATTTTACATTGTTGGTTTATGTGATTGGACTCTTAACCTTGCATGCTCACTTAAATGAGTATGCAGCGTTGTCACGGAGCTTGGGGCGTGACAGATGATTTGATTTGTTAGGTGTTCTCCTTTTTGGGGGGTCTTTCTTTTGTATTTTTTAGCATCTTCTTGATGTTCTTGGTAATAAATCTTATTTAAAAAATAAAAAATAAAAACTCTGAACATGTTATTTTCCTCTAGTAGTATGTATGAAGTTGTTCGCTTGAGAAGCTCCGCTACTTCCATGCTAGACTATAAAAGAGTGGTCCGACTGAACTGCATTCTATAATAGAATTTCTATTTACTAGCTTGCTTGCCCTGTCTTATGAAGTTTCAAATGCCTTACTTTCCTCAAAATGTCCAGATCGACTGTGAATTTGATCGTCTTAATTTAATGTCAATTTGGTTTAGACTATTGTGATGAGCATGACTGATTGTTCTTACTCCATGGGATTCCATTCCAACCCTTTGGACCACTAATTGAAAGGAAGTTTTAGAAGGCTCCAAAAAGAAAAAAACTGCCTGCTCTCCAAATTTGATGTCTAATAGAGAGAAAATACGGGTTTGTTGGGCTGACAGTGGTATTAGTTTTTGTTATCTGTATGCTTAACCTTAACCGAAAAAAAAAAAAAAAAAAGAACAGAAGATTAAAATGGCAATTTCTAAAGTTGTCACTGAGGGGTATGACTTCAGTTTCAGTGATGACAGTTTTATCATGCCGCATCAGAGAAGATATCAGGTCATTTACCCAATAAAAAATGGGCAAACAAAAGAAGGGGACAAAATTATGCTGGTCTATGAATTTTATTATCAAAGATTCCCAATATCTGGTTGTTCCAAGTTCCCACTGAAAAAAGATACATTTAAAATTTAGGAAGTATGTTTTTCTAAAGGGTAAATTACAAACGTACCCCCATAAACTTTATTTAAATTATAAATTATTTTTTGTAGTTTTAAAAATTACATTATGCCTTCTAAAATTTCTAATTTCATAATAAATAAGTCATTTTATTAATAAATCATCAAGTTAATTAATAATTTTTAATAATGTTAAAATTTTATTTCAATTAATAATTTAAATAATTTTATTATTGTATAGGTGAACAGTTAGAAATTTCACTTTTTCAATTAATTATGTTAAATAAAAAATTTTGACAGTTAAATATTTGTAATTTTTTAAACTATAAAAGATAATTTATATTTTAAACAAACATCAGGAGATGCATTTGTCATTTACCCTTTTCTAAATAATGCCCCCAACGAGGGGGAAAGGAAGACTTATTGCAAATAATGACCCAGTGAGGGGAAAGGAAGACTTGCTGTAAATGATGACTGTGTGGAATTTCATGTCTTCTTTATTGACGCTACCAAGTCCAACGGAAGAACACAGGAATTCCATGAATTGGACATTAGACCATCAATGGATGTCCTCAAAATACCTTTCTTGTTTTCCTCTTTATTTTCCATCTTAATAATCTCCAAAGCAGTAGACACAATAACTAAAAGCCACTCCATTACAGGCAGCCAGACCATAGTTTCATGTGGTGGAAGCTTTGTGATGGGATTTTTCAGCCCTGACAATTCGCAGAATCAATACTTGGGAATATGGTACAAGAAAATATCTGTTAAGACTGCTGTATGGGTTGCCAACAGAGAAACCCCACTCATCGATTCATCAGGTGTCTTGAAGGTAATCAACCCTGGAATTCTTGCCCTTGTCAATGGTACCGGCAGTGTCATTTGGTCTCCCAATGTGACAAGATCCACACAGGACCCTGTTGCACAACTTATGGAGTCAGGAAATCTTGTTGTGAAAGATGTGAATGATAATATTTTGTGGCAAAGCTTTGATTATCCGTGTGATACTCTTTTACCAGGCATGAAGCTTGGAAAGAATTTTGTAACGGGCCAAGAGCGGCACCTCTCTTCATGGAAGAGCAGTGATGATCCAGCTCAAGGTGATTTTTCCTTTTGGTGTGATCCCCAAGGATATCCACAACTTATTTTGAGAAATGGTTCCATTGAGCTGCATCGATCTGGACCATGGAATGGTCTCGGATTCAGTGGGAGACCAAACCTTAAACCAAATTCCATCTACAAATATGGATTAGTTTTCACTGAGGAGGAGGTGTATTATGGTTATGAACTCATTAACAACTCAGTTGTTTCAAGGTTTGCTCTGAGTCATAATGGCATTATGCAGCGCTTCACATGGATTGATCGAACCCAGGAATGGGTCCTTTACCTGAATGCACCGACAGATAATTGTGATTATTATAAACGGTGTGGTTCATATGGTAGCTGTAACGTTGAAAACATACCAGTATGCGGTTGTTTGAGTAAGTTTGTGCCCAAATATCCGAAGCAATGGGAAAATGGAGATTGGTCTGATGGGTGTGTTCGGAGGACACCATTGGATTGCCGTAACGGAGATGGATTTCTCAAGTATTCACATTATAAAATGCCAGACACAAGATATTCCTGGTTTAACAAGAGCATGACCTTAAGGGAATGCGAGATGCTATGCTTGAAAAACTGCTCTTGTACCGCTTACACAAATTTAGACATAAGAGGAGGTGGAAGTGGCTGCTTGCTTTGGTTTGATGAATTGATTGACATGAGAGAGTTCAGTGAAAATGGGCAAGACATTTACATAAGGATGGCTTCCTCTGAGTTGGGTAAGAATTCATACCAAACACATACATTAGTGGTTTTACATTATAACTAAACGATGCTCTCTTTGACTGCCATACACATACATTAGTGATTTTACAGGCATACACATGTTGATGCTTATAAAATTTGATTATATTTTAGGACAAAATATATGTATGGTTCTTTTAGTATGTGTTTTTTGTCATTTTAATCTTTTAAGTTTCATTTTTGTCAAAAGAGGTAAGAAGTGGTCGGAATCTATCAAACCCTATAGTTTCAAGAATCGCATGAATCGTAAAATGTGAATCAAATCGTGAATCATGCGATTCATCATCAATTCTATCCCAAAATAGGTTGATGCACCTTTCAGGCACTTCCGTCACTGCCAAGTGCCAGAGCTTTTGGCTGCCACATATACAGAATATATCAAGACTCTCTATTACAATCCCCGCTACACGAGCAGTTATTTGGTGCACTGGGAACACCACTTGGCCATGTGCCCATCTAATAATAGCAAGGCATGTGACCGTTATTAAGGAAAAGTAGAGGCAGTGATGTGATGTGGTCCATTGGAAAAATTAGAAAAATGTTTCATACCACTAATTTAGCATCACTAATGCACCACTAATGATGTGGCATCATGTGGACCCCACCACTGATGTGATAGTTTGGCCTTTATTTTGTTTTATTTTTTTTTTCTTTACATTGCCACCTCATTAGTGGTGTTTTTAGAGCTTCAAATTTAGTGCTCTAAATCATCACTCGGAAAATTATGATGGCCTTATTTGTTATTGTATTTTTTGTGTGAGGATTATTTTGGTAATTTTGCATTTTAAGGGTTTGAAGACTTTATAAATATGGCTCAATTAGGTCAGTTGAGACAGGGTCAATATGTGAGTAACCCTTGGGTTTATTAGAGTTGTGGCTCCATGTATCCTTCCCCCTTCTTTCCCCTTGTGCTTGTGGATTCAAGCCCCTTGGTGGACTCTAGGGTTTCCCCCTTTTTCTTTCTTCCCTCTATTCTCCTTGTGAATTCAAGGCCCCTAGTGGACTTCTTCGGTTTGTCCCCTCTTGTGTCTCTTCATCCCTGAAGTTATTATCTATTGTATCTAAAATTTGTGTTTTAGCGAAATAAATAGACTGCAAATCGTTTTCTTTGTGTGATGTTTTCAAGTTACATCACAAAGTAACCACATGACCGCAAACCATTAGAACACATGACTGCACTGAATTTTCTGCCCCACATGTTAATTTTTGCCGCTACACACACCACCATACCATGACACCACCCATATAAAGTGCACTCAGCTGTAGTTGGGAGAAGACTTCATAGGGGAAAATCTAGAATCAGAAGCAGAGATAAAGTTCTATTCCTAAGTTGTACCTTTGGTTTAACTGTGAAGCGTATAAATTAAAGTAAACCAGGCTTGCAAACTTTCCGACAAAGCAGTTGTAAAGTCAAGAGGCAACAACTACAGCTTGGCCACTTGCAGAGCCCCTAGCACTTTGAAAATTTGATAACCTCTTCTACCGACTGTATAGTACTGTTCATAAATTAAGGGCAGGTTTCTCCTTCAAATGCAGCTTCCCTTAATACCAATCATGGTTAAAAGTGACTGCATCACAGAATCTACCAAGGCCCTGCTTGACCTCATTATGTTACTAGCCTTGGTTGAATGTATTTTGTTACTTATTTTCTAATTATATATATAGCAATTGACATTATACATATGCTTGTACTCTCATGGTTGTATTACCTGAATGAATTAACCATTGCTTTAAATGAATTGAGGATTCAACAGTTCACCAAGTTGGCTTCAGTGGCAAGAAAAAAAAGATAGTCAGCGTATAAATTAAAGTAAACCAGGCTTGCAAACTTTCCGACAAAGCAGTTGTAAAGTCAAGAGGCAACAACTACAGCTTGGCCACTTGCAGAGCCCCTAGCACTTTGAAAATTTGATAACCTCTTCTACCGACTGTATAGTACTGTTCATAAATTAAGGGCAGGTTTCTCCTTCAAATGCAGCTTCCCTTAATACCAATCATGGTTAAAAGTGACTGCATCACAGAATCTACCAAGGCCCGGCTTGACCTCATTACGTTACTAGCCTTGGTTGAATGTATTTTGTTACTTATTTTCTAATTATATATATAACAATTGACATTATACATATGTTTGTACTCTCATGGTTGTATTACCTGAATGAATTAACCATTGCTTTAAATTAATTGAGGATTCAACAGTTCACCAAGTTGGCTTCAGTGGCAAGAAAAAAAAGATAGTCGGAGTGATCTTGGCATTATTATTTGGACTTCTTCTGCTGGGTATCAGCATAACCTTGTATTTCCGAAAAAAGAAGAAGAATTTACAGCTGAACAGAGAAGGTATGTGAGATGAGTAATTATGTGGTAAACTTAATTTAGAAGGAAAAAAGAAAAGATATGCACACAAATATATATATTCTGTATTATGTGTTGATGTGTTCTTCCCGGTAATGGTATATTACTTTGTTAGATCAACTCATCTCATTTACATCCACTTCATCCCTGCATTACAGGAAATCTGATGCTCAACTCTGAAGAAGGTTACAATGACAAAAACCAGAAGGAAGATCTGGAGTTACCATTGTTTGACTTAGCTGTAATTGCTAATTCCACAAATAACTTTTCAATTGACAACAAGCTTGGAGAGGGTGGATTTGGACCTGTTTACAAGGTAACAATGTAAAGACGCACTTGTGCAATCTATAACAACTTGATACTGAATATAGTTATTTGAAATCCTTCTATTTCATTCTACTCAAACAAGGATCTTAATAAAATTAGTAAGGAATTTTCTATCCGGTTCGGACCAGGTATTAATTCAAGGTTTCGAAAGCAGCTTGCTTTCTAGTGAGTTCTTTCTTTCTTTTTATTTCTTCCAAGTTATCTTTTATTCAATCCTACACTTTATAATTATCATCTACGTCCAATAATTAACTTGCCTATGATTTTATAAATTTTAACCTTAATTATTTTTCATTTCAAATTCACTCATAAATAAAGCCTAAATTGTTAGGTTTTTATTTTTGGCAACCCCGTTTGACAAAACTCTTTTAAGTTGTATTTGTTTTCGCACTTTTTATTTCTATGAGGCTATGAGTGTTTAGATGCGAATCCAACCCGAATTGTGCCTTACAGAGAAGCTTTGTGATGTTAATTCTTTCAAGATTGCCATTTCGCTGATTATGACGGGGATCGAGCTGCCCGGTCAACTCGCGAGGGTCCAGGGGGCAGCGCCCCTTGTCGGGTCCGGGACAGCGCCACGGCGGGGTCGAGGGGCAGCACCCCCGAAGCAAAATGCAAAAATGCATTCAAAGTTGCCTCCCCGCTCGAGCGGAGAATGGTGATATCCAGAAGTATACGTGTCTGCAAAAATACTGTGATCCATGTTTTCACGCTCGAGCGTCGAAATCCCCGCTCGAGCGTACATCCTGGTTTGGAACACTTCATATAGTGTCCCCGCTCGAGCGTCAATTCCCACACTCGAGCAGACCTCGCGATTTCAGATTCTATAAATTCGCAAGTTGGTCCAAATCTAGGATTACTTCTCCAGATCTTCTTCTTGGGTTCTAGGGTTTATATCTGGGGATATTTTGCTAGTTTTCTTTGATGTTTTGACTGAGTATTCAACTCATGGTTTAAAGAGTATACATCAAAGGATTATTTGTTTGTTCTACATAAAAGATAGAGTTGTTCTTCGGTGGATTCTGAAGAATTCGAGCCTGAAACTTTGGTGGATTCTGGAGTGGCTCATCGTTAAGACAATTCTGAGGTGAAGATGGGGTTGGAAGAGACACATAGAAGTTGGTTCAATTCAAGCATGGATTCGCTAGGTAATTGAGAGTATACCTGTGTAATTCCTTTATGTCTTTTTAGTGGATTGTTTTGTGGCTTTTGCCCTTGGTTTTTTTTATCACAATTTGAGGTGTCCAATTATGGTTTTTCCACGTAAAATCGTTGTGTCAATTTGTCTTGATTGTTTAATCACAAATCAACATCTAGGGGATTTCTAGAATTTTTCATAAATAAAACCTAAAATTGTTGTACTCCTTCAGAATCTATTCTACCTTATCACGTTACTGATTCTAAACGACCTATATGTCCACAAATAAGGGAAATAGTAATCCCTCTTCTGAATATTGTAGTATAAGATAAGAAGGGTAAATAATTAATTGCTTCTCTCTATAAAATAAGATAATTAAATACCAATACAGGTTCTAGTAAAAAAAAAAGAAATTGAGTAGGTATTGTTCTTAACGAACTAACATCATCATTATTCAAAAGCAGGAAATTGGCTCACCAACAAGCTTATTTAGATGGCTACTCTTTCATTTTTTCCACTTTCTTGAATGACTATTCAGTTATAGGTTGGGACTTCGTTTCTTGTTTCTATTTATTTTTTGTTTTTTATTTTTTGTTTTTTGAGTAATGGCATAAAGGAACAAAAATTATATTGAAAAGATATGCAAATGATGTGGTTGATTTGAATTTTATCATTTTAAATCAAAATACCAATCGATGAGCATTTATTTCAAAAATGTCATTATCCAGTTAAGTATTCTATATGAAAAATATGGAAAAATGATTGTTTATTCTAGTTGAATATTCTATGTAGCAAATAATAATTTATATATTTATATGTGAAAAATTATTGAGACTGACCGTTAAAATCTTGTAGAGAAGTTCTAACTTTGTAATTCCCCTCCACCTGTCCACACTCACTCATGCAAAGTAATACATTATCTACCCTTTCCTTATCACACAACCTAGGTGTTATTTGGCATCACATAGTATATTTTTCCTTCAATTTTCTAAGTTTACAATTGGTTTTATGCATCTTTTCTCACATATGAAACTTTATAAATCTGTGTAATTATGTCTTTGAAGTATGTGTTTGGTAACGTTGTTACATAAATCACTAGTCATGATTGTTCCTGTTGAACCAATGTCAGCCAGAGCGACACACAAAAATGTAAAAGATATAAATAATAAGAATGGCAATAAAAGTGGTTTCTTTTAAGTTCTAAGGGAAGAACAGTCTACAAATTATATTGGTAATTCCCAGGGTATACTAGAAGGAGGACAAGAAATAGCTGTGAAGCGGCTCTCAAAGAATTCTAACCAAGGACTTGATGAGTTTAAGAATGAAGTCATATGTATTGCTAAACTTCAGCACCGAAATCTCGTGAAGCTTCTAGGATGTTGCATTCAAGGAGAAGAAAAGATGTTGATCTATGAATACATGCCCAACAAAAGTCTGGACTTCTTTATTTTTGGTATGGCTTTCTTGAAACTATAATACTTCAATTTTTGGTATGGCACATCTCTTCCACCCTTGGACCAACCAACAATCTTTCTTTCTTTCTTTTTTTCTTTTTATACTTTTTGTTCTATATAAACCTTTTGAATTATTTGGTAATGGGACCAAAATTATATGTGGTTGTTATTACATGTGCATTTGCATGAGCTTTGTCTTCTAGAAAAATTGGGATTTTTAAAAAATTCATGCATCTAATTAGCAAGAGCAAGGACTAAATCAAACCCAAAAAAAACAGATCGAACCCGGAGTGCATTACTAAAGTGGTCGAAGGGCTTCCACATTATTAATGGGATTGCTCGGGGACTTTTATATCTTCATCAAGATTCCAGATTGAGAATTGTTCATAGAGATCTCAAAGCTAGTAATATTTTGTTGGATATTGACATGAACCCAAAAATATCTGACTTCGGAGTGGCTAGAAGGTTAGGAGGAAATGAGACACAAGCAAATACAAACATAGTGGTTGGAACACGGTAAGAATCTCCATAACATGTTTCATCTAATCCACTTTTATTGCTTCAAAATCTGGTTCCTCATTTAGCATTTCTCTACAGTGGCTACATAGCTCCAGAGTATGCAGTGGATGGGCTATTTTCAGTAAAATCTGATGTATTCAGCTTTGGTGTTTTGGTGCTGGAGATTGTGAGTAGGAAGAGAAACAGAGGTTTCTATCATCCAGGTCACCGCCTCAACCTACTTGGGCATGTAAGTGTACGAAGCTTAAAGCTATCATTGCATATGTATGTTTTCCAAGAAGTACTGTTAATATTGTAATGGATTGTTCAGGCATGGAGACTCTATAAAGAAGGTAGGTCGTTGGAATTAATTGATGAGGCTCTATGGGACTCATGCTACCTAAATGAAATGTTGCGATCAATCCATGTGGGTCTTTTATGTGTGCAACAATGTCCAGAGGATAGGCCAAGCATGTCATCTGTGGTTCTAATGTTGGGTAGTGAAGGTGCATTGCCTCAGGTCAAACAGCCTGGCTTCTTTACTGAAAGGAATATTCATGAGGCTAGTTGTTCGTCAAGCAAGGATGCAACAGTTTCGGCCAATGAAATCACCATTACTCTGTTAGATGCTCGATAGAAACATATATTGTGTTGATGTAAACTATATGCCCCAAAACCTATTAAATAAAATGAAAATCTTTACTACATTCAAAGATAGTTTAAGTTGTATAAACCAGTTCCCCTTTTTGTAATTTTCACTTGAATTACATCTGGGATTAGTTTGGAAAGTCTTGTAATCATTGGAGTTTAGGTGGATTTAGTTAGATTTTATACATATCTACAAGATGGATGCTATGATTAGTCATTGTTTCTTGTTTACTTGGCCTTGCAAACCTTCATAGGTTATCATCATAATTAATAAAATTTTGTGTGATACATATAAAAGATTTTTTCTAAATTTTTTGAAACTTTTTTTGTGCATAAAATAAAAATCATAGGCAATAATGAAATTTCATTATTTTTATTTCTGAAATTAAAAAAACAAAAAAAAATTGGGCAACTAAGAAACAATATTTAGATAAGATGAGTGTTATTGAAATGGGGAGGCTAAGGTGGATGTACGGCAAGACTAGAAAAAACAGAGTTAGGAATGAGTATATTCGTGAACGGGTAGGAGTAATACTGATAGAAGATAAGTTGAGAGAAAATAGATTGAGATGGTTTGGTCATATACAACGGAGACCAACAAAAGCAGTAGTAAAGAGATGCGATGCAACGACGGTAGAGGGAAGTGTTAGGGGAAGGGGCAAACCTAGATTGACATGGGTTAGTGTAGTAAATAGAGATATGAATCTCTTTAATTTGAATAACCAAATGGCCTTTGATAGAGTCGAGTGGAGAAGAAGAATTCATGTAACCGATTTCATTTGATAGGACTTAAGGCTTGATTTGGTTTGGTTAAAAAAAAAAAAAAAAAACGAAAACAATTTTCTCCTTAAAATAGCAATGCCCAACCCAAAATAGGATGTTGTTCCTGCATTGGCAACACAGTTGAAACAACACCGTTTGTTGGATTCATTGGGCCTGCCGATGAAAGGTTTCCACCTTCCCTTTATTGCTAGTTTCTCGGCAACCGAACTGAAAGGAAAAATGTAGATTGACCGAACAGACTGCAAATTGCAGAAGTGGACGCTTTGATTCTACAATTATGGTTTGCCATCCTTTTCTTGAACTCTCAAATATAATTTCTCATAATGTGCTTATGTGTGTGTTGGCATTTGTGTATGTGTGTGTTTTTTACATATACATACATATGTTGTCTACTCTCTCTCTCGACCATTTTAATTTCTGGAAACCTGCTGTTGATATTGCTAATTAGCCTCATTCCTGTAGCTCTGCATTGTCATCAAATATTTAGTTGTCTTTTGCACAATTGATGTTTGTAAAAATATCATGGTATAAAATTGATGTTCAAAAAATCACTGTGAATATGTATTTATATTTGTATGCAATGGAAATTAGTGTGACTTGTCAAGATGTTTTTAACTACAGAAGCATAACCACGTATTCATATCTGACGGAAGTGACATTGGTATACCACTAATTTCAAACTGAAATATTACTTAGTTCTGGTATATAGTTATAAGAAACTCTTTGTTCTCCCCCTTTTTTTTATTTTTATTTTTATTTTTTTGTCATTTTAGTTTTATGTAGTCCTAAACCCCCAAATAATTGGAATCAAGCCTTTGTTCAGGTGATTTGAGCTATGAATTATGTTGTTTTAGTAACAACTTGGTTAATTTCTATGAAGATTGTTCGAGGTTGGTTGAAGTGGAATCGTTTCTTTTATTTTTCTGATGATACTTGGGGGATCTTCTTCCCTAAAAATTTCATTTTTGAACTAGTAGAACACTATCCTTGAATTTTCTAGAAGAGCTAGCTTGACAAGCTTGTCTAGATTTGATTTTGGCCCACTTTACAGGACTTAAGAACTGAAACCATGCCAAAAACCAATCACAATGACAAACCTTTTTCCATGGAACAGTCTTTATGTAAAGTTGGGTACTGGAAATGCTTGTGCTGAGCCAATACTTGATCAATCTTTGTCCTACATTTTAGTTATTGACGCAGTCACGTTATAAATTAGGCTCATCAGAAAATCTAGATGCTTCTCATATCATGTTTTGGTGTTTAATTTACTTGCAAAATGTCCATGGGACTTACTGTATCTTATTATAGAGGAGAGTGCTTTGATATTTGAAACCAAATTATAAATAAATAGAAAATTTTTGAGCTCCGTGGTTTTAAGTTCAAAACCACTAAACTATCAAGAAAATCAAAACTTTCGCAGCACATCTCGTTTTGAAGTCCCTCGTGCTGGAGGACCCTAAACTTTCGCAGCACCCTTGACTTGTACTCTGGTGTTAAAGGGCTACGGGCCTTTGTAACATAGGTCCCTCGTGCTGGAGGACTCTAAACTTTCGCAGCACATTTTGCCTTGAAAGTCCCTTGTGCTAGAGGACTCTAAACTTTCGTAGCACCCTTGTTTGAGATGTCTATCTTGCTTTGTCTTGTTTTGCCACGGACGGTCTACCGCGTGGATATGTTTGCCGAAATGTTATTATTTGTAATATGTGACACTAGTACGTATCCCTTGAAACTGTGAAGATTTGTTAGATAGACGAGGTCCATTCCTTGTTATATATATATAGAGTTTTGTCTTGTATTGTTTGAAAGGATTTCGGCTATTATTCATGCAAACCCCTTTATTATTTATGCCATTCACTGAGTATTCAAGCTCACCCTCTCTATATATATGTAGGTGATGAGCAAGAAGGCGATGACGCCTAGATGTGAATCTGGAGCTTATTTTGGATTTTGATTTTTGTCGGCCTAACCTGTAATTACGTCGGTAGTCTTGAAAATTATGCTTCTCGATTTGTAATACTTGTATGTTGCATACGTCGGCTTGAGAAGCCTTTTGATCAAGATGCGTGTTTTGTATACTCGTTATGTCGGCAGTGAGGATGTCGGCAACTCTGAAGATTTTGCTTCTAGCCGTATTTCTTGTATTTTGTTCATGTCGGCTTGTGAAGCCTTTTGTTAATATCAAAGATGTAATTTGCACTTTGTTTCGTTTGTATTTAAGTTGTAAAGCTATGTAAAGATGTATGCCATTTCATTTGACTTATGCACTGCTCTTATGGACCACTTGTGTTTTAGATTATTGCTTCCGCATTTGTGAGCCCCTATATCTATACTCTGATTGTGCGTGAATTTTGAAAGTTGGCCTTCGGTAATCTCGGATTACTGGCCATCACGGCACCAAACTACTAGGGGTGGTTTGGGGTCGTGACAGAATGGTATCAGAGCACAAGTTCCTTAGTATATCTTATTCACACACTTTGAGTCCTAAAGAGCATAGGATTTCCCCTTAGAAGGAAGTTAGAATTGCATCATATTGCTTGCTATGTGAACAAGGTGTGCGTTGTCTCGGCATGCTTAACTGTTACTTGCCTACGTGATTACTTGCTCATTTTGTTTTAAAGCCACATTTTGCATACTCATAGTATCATGAGGAGAGGAAGACCTCAAGTTGGCCGAGATCAGTCAGAGGACAGAATAGACAGGCTGGAAAGGCTGGTTGAAGGTTTGGCCCGCGAATTAAGGCAGACAAGACAGCAGTACGCTAGTGCTACATCGACTCAGGCCGAGCAGACGAACCGCCGGAATGCAGTTCCACCTCAACCCCCTCCAGTACCTCAAGTGCCCCCACAGCCAGCTTTATATGGGGACGGCACGATAGCTCTGATTAGAGAGTTTAAGAAAATGAAACCGCCGAGATTTCAAGGGGGCATAGAGCCGATGAAAGCCGAAGCCTGGGTTTTGGAGATGGAAAAGCTGTTCGAGATCTTTCCCAACACTGACACCTAGAAGGTGACGTTAACAGCTTTTACACTAGATGACGACGCCCGCAGATGGTGGATGATGGTTCGAGAAAGCAATCCAGACTTGACCTGGACTCGATTTTTAGAATTGTTCTACAGCAAGCATTTTCCCTTAAATGTTCGGAATCGCAAGGCTACCGAATTTCAGACTCTTACGCAAGGCAATAGAACAGTAGCTGAATATGACCGTGCCTTTACAGAGTTGGCAAGGTACGCACCCCAGATGGTCAATGATGAATATATGAAGGCTATGAAATTCGAAAGTGGGCTCCGTGGACCGATACAAGACCGGGTTAACATGCTCAACATGCCGACTTATGCCGAAGTGTTGGACAAAGCCATCCTGGCTGAAGCTAACTTGAACAGATACCAGAGTTCAGGAGAGAGTCAGAGGAAGAGGCAGAGTTATGACAACCACCGAGCACAGTTTGGTACCAAGAAGAAAGCAAACGTCGGCAGTTCAAGCAACCCAAGGCAAGAGAGTGGTACTAAGCCGATATGTTCCAGCTGTGGGAAACCACATTTCGGGGTCTGTCGTCGGGCGTCTGGGGCTTGCTACGAATGTGGTGAAGTAGGTCATTTTGTGAGAGACTGTCCGAAAACGAAGGCTGGGGAAAATAAGAAAGATGAGAATACTTCGGGCTCCGTGCAGAAAGGTAACGCTGGGAAAGGACCAATGAGACAAGGCAGAGTTTTTGCACTGGTACCAGGGGACATTCAGAATGCTGAGACAGTGGTGTCAGGTACACTTTCAATTTGCTCTCAAAATGCATATGTATTGATTGATTCGGGTTCTACGCATTCATTCATTTCTGCTAAGTTTGCCGAGAAGATTAATAAGAAAGTAGAGCCCCTTGATTTCGTATTGTCTGTGTCTACTCCATCTGGGAGATCTATGAATGTTGCATCCATCTATCGAGCATGTGTTGTTATGGTTGGGAATGTTGAACTATTAGCTGACCTAATGCCTTTGGACATAACTCATTTTGATGTTATATTGGGGATGGATTGGTTAGTGGCAAATCACGCATCCATAAATTGTGTTTCGAAGAGTGTCACGTTAAAACCCCCAAACTTAGCCGAGGTCACGTTTCAAGGAAAAGGTGTAGTATCCCCACCTTACTTAATTTCATCCATGAAAGCCTATAGGTTGATCCAAAAAGGGTGTCAAGGTTATCTGTGTAGTATATTAAGCAATTTGAATGGAAGTGTGGAGTTAGCTGACGTCCCAGTTGTTAATGAATTCCCCGACGTCTTTCCAAATGATTTGTCTGGTCACTTAGTTGATAGAGAGGTAGAGTTTGATACCGGGTACCCAGCCCATCTCTAAAACACCCTATAGGATGGCCCCTGCCGAGCTTAAGGAATTGAAACTTCAACTACAAGAGTTGCTAGATAAAGGTTTTATTAGGCCAAGCACTTCGCCCTGGGGAGCACTCGTCTTGTTTGTTAAGAAGAAAGATGGCACACTTCG